TTTTGTTGACCTAGTAATCAAAGTTTGCTTGCTGAGAATTTTAAATTCTGTACGAGCATGATTCATCAAGTGGGGCTATTTAATATTCAATGGAAAGGTAGCAGCACTTGTATAATATTATAATAAATCAGCTGGCATTTCCCAGCTATATAAACGAGGCAATTACTATCCTTTATTCTCATCTTATGCCAAAAACAAACTGGTCAAGAAAAAAAATGTACTTTGCATTCTCTTCATCCGCTGCCAACATTATCATCTTTCTTTTTTCATTTGTATTGGCAGCTTCAGCTGATCACAATCATGAAAACTTTCTTCGTTGCCTGGCCACTCGTATATCCAAGTCCAACTCTACCTCCATTCCTACACCCACTGTCTGTACTCCAAATGATTCCTCGTATTTCATTGTGTTGAATTCATCCATACAAAATGATCGTTTTTCTTCTGCTTCGACCCCAAAACCATTTGTTATCGTGACCCCATCTCATTCCTCCCACATTCAACTCACCGTTCTTTGCTCCAAGAAACATGGTATGCAAATCAGAACCCGAAGCGGTGGCCATGATTATGAGGGTCTTTCTTATGTGTCCAATATCCCGTTTGTTGTAATTGACTTGAGAAACCTAAGATCGATCAGCGTAGACGTGGACAGCAAATCTGCATGGGTTCAAGCGGGAGCTACGCTTGGTGAACTTTATTATAGGATTGCAGAAAGAAGTGAAAATCTCGCCTTTCCTGCCGGCGATTGCCACACTGTGGGTATTGGAGGACAGATCGGTGGAGGAGGCTACGGCTATTTGACACGTAAGTATGGCCTTGCAGCAGATAATGTTCTTGACGCAGAATTAATCGATGTTAAAGGAAGAATTCTTAATAGGAAATCTATGGGTGAAGATTTGTTTTGGGCCATACGTAGTGGTGGACCAGCAAGCTTTGGAATCGTTCTTGCATGGAAACTTCGACTAGTTACTGTGCCATCGACAGTGACTGTGTTTGATGTGAGGAGGAACATGGAGGACGATGCAACAAAGAAGCTTTTTCATCAATGGCAACGCCGTGCTGACAAAGTTGATGAGGATCTATCAATTTACGTAAGGTTCCAAACTGAGAGTTCTATTGATAAAGAAGGTAATAAAAAAATTGTGCTAGTAGCTTACTTTCGCGCCACATTCCATGGCGGCGTGGATAGGCTCCTTGAATTGATGCAGAAAGAGTTTCCCGAATTGGGTTTGCTAAGACAAGAGTGCACTGAAATGAGATGGGTCGAATCCTTCCTCTATCACAATTTCTTCAGAAATGGAGAATCCTTGGATGTTCTACTTAATAGGATATCTAATTACAATATGTCCTCATTCAAAGCTAAATCTGACTTTGTGAAAGAGCCTATTGCAGATGATGCATTCAAAGGAATACTGGGAAGGTTGTACGAAGAAGAGGTAGGAGGAGTTATGATTGATCTATTTCCTTTCGGAGGGAAAATGAACAAGATTTCATAATCGGCAATCCCATTCCCATACCGAGCTGGAAACCTCTACAACATTCATTATTTGGTGCGTTGGGAAGAAGATGGAAATACTACCGTATCCAACAAGCATATAAATTGGATAAGAAGGCTTTATGATTACATGACTCCTTATGTGTCAAAAAATCCGAGGGCTGCATATCTCAACTTTAGAGACCTTGATATCGGGATGAATAACGATAAGGGTGACACCACAAGTGCTTATAATAACATTAGACGGGCGAGGATCTGGGGTACTAAGTACTTCAAGCATAATTTTAACAGGTTGGTTCGTGTAAAGACTATAGTTGATCCAACTAATTTCTTTACAAACGAACAAAGTATCCCGTCTCTTTTTGCGCAATATTGAAAGTCTTGTGATTAGAGATCCTTGTTAGGTTAAATTATAACCATTGCCATTAGCTTTAGTCTTATTTTATTCATTCTAAATAACAATCTCTCGTGATCAAATATCATGTATATGTTCAAAGTTTATATGCACATATAAAAGTCATTCGATATACTTTAGAATTCCTTGACAATATATTGATTGAAAAGATGTTGCACATGCGTATGATCGACCACTTTAACCTTATTAAACACCCTGTTTCGTTTTAATAAAACCATCGTTTTCCCATACAAATATTAATTTAGAATTAGAAATCCAATTTACTACTTATTGTAGTAAATATGGATTTTTTATGTATAATAATTAAAAGACAGGATATTAGCTATAATTTCTATAAATTCAAAACCCTGGGTCAGGCATGCACGGATCAAGAGGTCTTAAACTTTATCTTTTTGTACTTTACAATCTTTTAAAAATTAATTAAAAAAATATATATTCAAACTAGATGAAAAAATTCAAAATAAAAGAGGATCTTACAAGTTTATAATGAAAGCATGGCCGGTAGAACATAATAACTACTAATCACATTAGAACAAATGGTTTGGTTCGTGAAGAACAAATCAAAACCTCAATGCTCCCAGCCCGACAATGGATCTGGTTCGGGAAGGCCAGATCGGTGAAATCTTCGACCGGATTTGTGACGGAGCTCGGCAAGATCTCCGATCGGATATGCGACGGAGCTTGGGGATGGAGAACATCCTTGATTTGCTATAGAGATCGTGATCTCAAAGCGATCTGCAATGGAACTTAGTGAGGGCTTCAGCGTCGTCCTCCATCTGCGACCTCCGAGCGTCGACGACGACGGCAATCTCCCGAGAACCAAACAGAACAAGGAGAATCAAAGTCGCTTTCCTCCGTCGTGCGGCTCCTTTGCTTTGCTCCTTCGCGTTGCTGGTGATTATGGAGGTGAGGATGACAATTCTATGGTTTGGTCCCTTCAACGAATCTGGGAGATTGTCTCGTTGGCGCCAAAGGAGCTCGCCAAAGAAGATCGCAGTTTGAGGATGGCACATCGTCGCCTTCCTCACGAGAACGGAGTCGCGAGATCAGATTCACCGATTGGTACCAACACTTACTTGAAGGACCTTATAAGGAGCGAGGTCTTAGGTTCAAGTGTCAGGGGACGCGAAGAAATCCATCAAAGTTGTTAGGTGCACATAAAAAGCAGTATATATGAGTAACGTGTATAAAACTCGTCTAATAAGATGGGTCTCATAACGAGTTGAGACATTACATTATATGTTATTTTCGACCATTCAGTTCTAATATTTTATTGAAAAATAATAGAAAACATGTGCTAAGAAATTAGTCTTTATGTAAAAAAGAATATTTACATCTTATCGATATTTTCAAAATTATTCTGGATATTTGTAGATATTCACTAATATTGTGGATATTTTTAGTCATTGTAGATATTTTGCGGGTACTCCGAGAAGAATATAATTCTTTTCATTATTTATGTCGAGACTTTAATTAAATTTTAAAAATATCATGAAAACGTCAAAAATATCGTGGACATTTTCATCCAAATGTGACTCATAAATAGGTGTATTATTTAGTTTCATGTTATTTTATGATTTTAATGTTTATTATGAACTAACGATCACGTGGACGTTCCAAAAAGCTCGGACGACATGAGGTGTAGAAATTACATTATTTTTAAATTTTATGATTTCATATTTTTAAAGTATGTGTTCGTTACTGTCCTTTAATTCTACATTGATTAAGCTAATAATTATTTACCATGATTTAGTTAATTGATTCATATATGTATATAATACTATATATATGTTTCTATTTAGATTAAGATATTATATTGTTATGCTTATTATTATGTGTTCGTTACTGTCCTTTAATTCTAAATTTTAGATTCATATATGTAAGCGCGCGTAAGCAGCTATCAATGCACTGACACAAATTTGAGAGGAAAAGAAGAATAACAAGTGACACTATCTATAATTATGGTCCCAATCAGATCAAAAAAATTTGACGGTAAGAATGTACTATGAGGGATCCACCAGTGTGACGCAAATTGTTCTTTGAAAGAATAGTCATCATTTTTTTTTGTCCTTAATGTTTTTGCTTTTCCTAAATTTGTGATTTTCTAAGATGTCGTTTTCAAACTCATTATCCATTGTCCATCATGTTGTACTGTCGTCTATACTATAATAGCTCTGTTGCTCTTATCTCGTTCGAAATGTCATTTGTAGTTTCTTAGGGAGAATGCCGTTTGTAATCAAAACTGTCGTTTTCGTTAGCATTTGTCGTCATGACTTATAAAAGAGTAATTGGGGTGGTGTCGATTGTAGGAGAATACAGAAAGTCGTTGTCGTTTTCCAAATTCTGATATTTGTATTTTCAGCAAAAAGTTCTGATAATATGTAAGCCACGTTGTCGTTTACAATTTAAATTGAGGGAAAGAAAACATATCTCCTTAAACCTCAACGCGCTAGCTCCTACCAGCCCAGTGTCCAATCGCTATAGCAGCGAACACATAACGACGTCGTTTGGACGTTTCCACTCTCAACGGCGGACAAAGAGTTTCATGTGCAAAGTCACCATCCGCATCGGGGGGGCGATCGAATCGAGAAAAGTTGACGTTGTGAAAAATGAAAACCCCCGTGTGGGGCCCACCAGTCTATTTTTCTATTTCCTGTTCCAATAATCTAGGGTCTTTTGAGCGCGTGTCGGCTCACGCGCGTGCTGATAGACCCCAGCATATCTCTCTCACTCGATTGAATTAAGAACTATGTAGTAGTAGAAAAGGACAAGCCCAATCTCGGGAACTATGTAGTAGTATCACGGACTGGAATTCTCTTCATCTCTCTGTCTCTCTTTCTTACATCTTACATAAAATATGTTATCAAAAACACCCTCCATATTCCAATACAATCTTCTAGATTTCTCTCTTCTCACTCTTATAATCATAGTATTCTTTCTTGCTCTATTAACACACCTTAACAAGTTTTAAGTTTTTATAGTGATACTGATACCAATCTTGTTGGTGTTGGTCACACCTTTGTTTTGTTTTTTTTTTTTTTTTTTCTCTTTTCTTTTTTCTTTTTTGGCATTTCTTAAAAACTCATCGAATTCTCTCAATTTGGAACCACACCCAGATAAGCCCCATTTCCTCAAAACTACCTAGTATTATGATTTACCCATTAGTCTCTTCAGAAAACCAATCATGGAGAACATTAATCACCCCACAGATCTTGAAGAACCACAAAATCCAATCCTCCTCGTTAAATTTGATGATGAAAAGACCAATCCTTTGTTTTCATTCCCAAAACCCAGAAACCCAAATAAAAAACCCACCCAAAGGAGCCACCTTGGTGACCACCCCAACACAAGTTCTTCAGAGGAAAAAGGGTGAGAAAAAAAGGAGAGATTTTGAGGAGATAAAAAGAGATAATAATGAATCACAATCTCTTGTGGGTAGTAGAGAAATGTTGGTTTTGTGTGGATTTGGGTATTGGGTTCAGGGGTTCAGGTGCTTTCCATGGCTGGCTTTGAACTTCCACATGACTCACTCTCTTAACTTGAGCCCTTCAATCTTGCAGCTTGTTCAGAACTCTGGTAACTTGCCAATGGTCGCCAAGCCTCTTTATGGGATCTTGTCTGATGCATTTTCTATTAATGGTGCTCGTAGAATACCTTATATTTCCATTGGAGGTTGGGTTTCAAACTTATCTTAGCTTGTTATACCGTATTTAGTTGCTCTGCTTGTTTTACTTGCCATTGGAGGTTGGTTACTAAACTTATATTACCATTGACATCGATAAACCATTTATTAGTTTGTAATAAATTAACGATTTTTTTTTCTTTTGCTAAATCATCAAGTCAATTTGTTTTTTTATAGGTGTTTGTTGATTTAAGAAAATTAAGGACATTTATTGAAAATATACTTTAGAGAGAACATTTTTGCATATATAGAGGACCCCAAGTGTAGGATCGGTCCTTAACAAACTCTATAAATTGTTTTTGAGTTTGTGTTATTGTTGACTCATATGATCTTTGTTGTGGTGGCATGTTAGAGTATTTGTGTTTGTTGTTTGTATTCTTTTCTTCCTTTATGATTGTTTCCTTTTCTTGGTGTAGTTTTTTTGCTCTTCATATATTCTTGTTGTCTATTTCCATTCTCTCATATATTCTTTGTTAAGGAAAATGGCTAAACTTCATACTATGGATATCATTTTTAATTTTAGTGACTTCTTATTGTAGATTTATATGTTCTTTCTTATGATAGAATAGTTGTGTTTGTTGCTTATACTCTGTTTGATCCTTATAGTTTCTTCCTTTTCTTGGTATTGTATTCTTGCTCTTTCATGTTTTCTTGTTAACAAAGGTATCTAAACTTTATAGTCTTGATATTATTTTGAGATTTTATACGTGTTCTTATTGTAGATCCCTACGGTCTTTCTTATGTTAGAATAGCTTCTTTTTGTTGTTTCCTTTGCTTGGCTTTGTTTTCTTTACTTCTTTATATTCTTCTTATTCATTCCCCTTTTCCGTTTCTTTTAAGAATGATGTCTAGAATTTTGTTGTCTTTACTCTTGTAAGGATCCTGCAAATGTTAATAGGAAAAGTTTGAATCTTTCCTTTTTAAAAGGAGAGGATAAGGTTCTTTCTAATTATTTTCAGCTTATGTAGATGCAATAAATTAGTAGAGCTAATTATTTGAACAATTTTATGGAATACCCTGATGGGGTTCAAACTCTGCCAGTTATTTTGCAGGTCTTATCTTGGGGATCACTAGCACTTATTTCTGTTACTGGTCAATCTCTTCCCACACTTATGGCGTTTGTTCTTCTTAGCAACTTTGGAGCATCTGTTACAGAAGTAGCAAAAGACGCTCTGGTCACGGAATACGGTAAAGAACACGGCATCAATGGTCTCCAATCTTATGCATTAATGGCTTCAGCTGCTGGGGGAATCCTTGGCAACTTACTAGGTGGATACTTCTTAATGAAAGCGCCACCTAGAACTATGTTCCTAGTATTCACACTTTTGCTTTCCCTTCAACTTGGGTATTCCCTAAGAACAAGGGAGGAATCTCTAGGTTTAGCAAGATTGCCGCATCACAAACTTGTGAAGAATTCAATTTCAGAAAGTATTAGCGGACAGTTTTCTGAACTAAGAATGGCAATTGGTGATGAGAGCATCTTTCGCCCTCTTGCTTGGTTAGTTGCTTCCATTGTCATGGTCCCAAGTCTTTCAGGTTCCATCTTTTGCTACCAAACACAATGTTTACAGCTCAATCCTTCGGTCATTGGCATGTCCCGAGTTATCGGTCAGTTGATACTTCTTTCCACGACCGTTCTTTCCAGCCGTTACTGGAGGAAAGTCCCCATGAGGAAGTTGGTCAGCGCGGTTGAGCTTGTTTATGCCAGTTCTGTTCTCCTTGACCTTGTTTTAGTGAAACAGATTAACCTTGAGGTGGGGATTCCAAATGGAGCATTTGCTCTTTGTTTCTCTGGATTGGCCGAAACTATTGCGCAGTTCAAACTATTACCTTTCTCAGTTCTTTTTGCCAACCTATGTCCAAGAGGTTGTGAAGGTTCACTTGCCTCCTTCTTGGCTTCAGCTTTGTGCTTATCATCAATAGTCAGTGGTTGTCTTGGCATTGGATTGGCACTTTCGCTTGGAATAACTTCAGGTGATTACTCGAAATTGCCTGCGGGTGTTGTGTTCCAGTTCGTTGCAGCCTTAGCACCGTTGTTATGGATTCATCATCTGCCAATGTCACAAAATACATCTGGGAAGGAGAGGAGGAGAGGTATGAGTAAGAGAACCCGGCGAAATAGGCGAGTTGGAAGAGTGGTGCTTGGGTCGGTTTATGTATACCGGCGCGAGAGAGAATCCGAAATGCAGAGTTGATCAATTTGCTTTGTGTCAACAGCTGAAAATTTTCTTCTAAAAGAGCTAGTGATGGAATTGTTTGCGGTCCAAACTTGTCATTGCTTTTTGTCTTCGGACAACTTGAGTTGATGATTTCACACGAGGCTTTTCATCTCACAATAATGATTGGTGACTCGAATGTCTTTGAGACAGGAGCCGAGACCAATTGCTCTCTCTTCTGCCAATGATTTTGACGTCTGAAGAATGTAACCTCTTTGCTGCAAAGAAATTTTGGTTTTAATCCCATCCAGCTTTCTGCAAGTGTACATTACGGCGTTAAAATCATATCAAAATAAAAATTTTGAAAAAAAATAAGAAAAAATAAAATCATATCAAAATAAAAATTTTGAAAAAAAATAAGAAAAAAGAGTACGTAAAAACAAAAATGATAAACAATTGACGGTTTAAAACAGAATTCTCGTAATCTGATTTGTTGTAAAATTTTGGCTGCAGTATCGAATTTTGTAGCAGAAAACCAAATAAACTCTTAACGATAGCCAGCAAAGGAAAGAGAAAGAGCTTCTGCTAAGAAGATTTCATCACCAACCTTGATGCAAGTCGTATTTAGTTAACATTTCATTATGACTCGTCGAATTATCCATTTTTCAAAAAAATAAAATTATACTTTATGTAAGTGAAAGGTTGTACTTTATTTTTTAACCAATCTCAATCCTCGTCAGAGTTGAAATAGAATAAAATTTGATGTTCAACATTACATTTTCTGGAATTAGAGACCCTGGTTAACTATATTAAGGAGAGGATGTGACAATTTTTTTTTTGTGTGTGTGTAAAAGTATGATTTTCTAACTTGGGCATTTCTTCAAATTAATGCTACTTTGGTTTGTGAGGAAAGGGGGATGTTTAACCATATTTGGGAGTGTGTGGAAGAAGAGGTCTAAACTACCACCATTAGCGCTGGCTTAAATATGAGGCCCCTTATTATTAGGACCATCACCTTTACACCTCAGCATATTGCACCTTCGTTCTTTCCTTTGAAAAATTTAAAAAAAAAAAAAAAAAGAAAAAAAATATTATTTCTTAATATTAATTTTTAACGTTCATTCTTTTTTCCCCTTCTAACAATTGATTATATATCATTTCAAATATTTTGTAATCCTTTTCGTAGAACTGTTCGGTTGATTATATATCATTTTAAAAGGGTTTGAATCTAAGCGCGGGTACAAATCTCTCTTGGGCTTTTAGCGTTTAAACCTAGGTTCAGTTCGAAATCCACTTTGATTTGAACCTTAATCTTATTATAGCTACTGACTATACAGACTTAAGTTCTATTCTGCCTAGTATAAACATTAGTAGAAATTAGACTTTAGGAATCAACAGGATTATCATTATAATCCAAAGATGCCATTATAAAAATGAAATTCTATTAAATTGAGAGAGCTTAAAGTTGAAAAGAGCTTTTAAAGCTTTAAGATTTGCAATGAGAGTACTTTGAGAGAGAGAGCTTTAGGATTTTGTGTGAGCTTGTGAAAAAATTATGAAAGAGATTTGAAACAAAAGTGAGATAGATTGAAAGAGATTGAGAGAAAATGTGAGTTATGTTGTGAAGAAATAAGTTTGGGAGACGGGGGTATTTACAAGGAAATTTTTGGGTTAAAAATATCAATTTTTCCCCCAAATTTTTTAATCCAACAGCTACTTTTTCTCAGCGGGTCAGGCTTTGGGCGGGCGGGCGGGTTCGGACTTCTCGGGTAACGGCACAAAAATTAGCCATTGAAGTCAGGCTTTCAGGTTGGCAATCGGGCAGGGCAGCAGTAGGCAGTCAGGCAGGCACTTCGACGGACATCAGGCAAGTGGTTAACGCAAGCAGCAGGCTTAGTTCGAACACATTTTTTTCAGATTGCCCGAACCCGAGCCCGACCATTAGGCTGGACAGGCGGACATAGGGTCCTACCCGCCGAGTTTGAAAAAATTCGGGTTTCAGACAAGCCCGCCGCCCAAAGTTCCAACACTAAAGATGTCTTTAAATTTTTTTAAAAAATTTAATAATTTACTCCTTAAAACTTTTTAGACTTAGCAACTTCTCCGTAAACTTAGGCCTCGTTCATTTCGCTAATTCGAGTTTAGAATTCGAGTTTTGCTACAATAAAAAGCTCTCACAAACAATCACATCTAACTTTTTTGCTACAGTAAAAAGCTCTCACATAAAATCACATCTCAACTCGAATTAAAAACTCAAATCAGCGAACTAAACGGGCCCTGACAATTTATCCCCCTTCCTGAACTTGCTACATCATTGTAATGTGGTTAATTTTGTTAATGATTGAAATAAATTGGTGAAGGAAAAGCACGAACGATCAAAAATTTATGATCCTAACCATGAATGCATGTACATTGTCGATCCACATTAAATCTTATATCTTATGTGTTCTCTTCTCCTTTTCATTTTCTTATTAAATTTTTAATAACCAAAAACCTTAACTAAGTGAGTCTCGCATCATATAGCAAAAACATAATTGATAACTGGTTGCTCTATTTAAAAAGCTTATGGTAGCATAATAACTATAATTAATTGAAAGACATTGACGTTTGATTTATGTATTTAGAATAATAATTCAGAATCATTCTCGTTTAATGTGTGTTTTTTATGAGAAAAAAATACTGTAAAAATCATGAATTATGAATTATAAATAAATATAAAAAACAAACGTCAAGCCGGCTCTGACCACCACATGTGTGCTATGAGTGTTTAAAGCACCATTAACTTTATGAGATAAAAAGAGTGGTATAGAGTTAAGTTTTTTTTTTATTATTATTATTAATAAAGTTCTTTTTACTAAATAAGGATCAAAGATTTTGACTCATCTTTCTTCCATTATTATTATTATTTGGAAGTTTAGTCTTGACATTAACAGTGACAAATTATTTCTCTTTTAAAATTTCACAATAATCTCAGCTTAATCGTATAGAAGAGAAATTTTTATAGAAAATAGTTAAGTTAAATGTAATAGTTCTGGTTTTTAACAGCTTTTAACAACGAAGGGAATATTTTGTCTTTAATTTAATCATTTCCCTGAAAATTTCAGGTACAAGCGATTAGGACGCGATGAAATTTTAAAGCTTGTTCTTTTGAAGTTTAACTTGAGTATAATTCTTGAGTTGAATTTGAATTATAATTTGAGTTGAACTTGTAACTTGAGTTTATGTTTGGTTGTGTACATTTGAGTTATGATTTGAGATAATAATCCTTTTGAGTTTGTGTTTGAGTGAGTCAAAACTTGAATTTATATTTAGATAGTATTTTAATAAAAACTCAATGCCGATGAAAAATTTTAATAGGGTATATGGGTTGGGTTTTATTCTTCTTTTCGTTGTCAACGTATAGAAAAAAAAATCATCCCAATCAGAATTAAAACGAAAAAGTTATAACATTTTTAAGAATAGAAAAAATATTGTTCATTAATTTGAGTTCGAGTTTCTGAACTCGAGTTGAAGGGGAAACTTGAACTCGAGTTTTAGTCCTAAACTCGAGTTTGAACTCAAGTTTAAACTCGAGTTTAAATTTAAAATAACATGAACTCGAATAAAATTGTAACTCGAGTTACATTTTTTTGAGTTTTTCACTCAAAAGAACAAGCCCTTAATTTCATAAGTTTTTCATTAGTTTTGGTGTTAAAAACTAAAAATGTCAAAAATTTAAGTTTTTGGAGAAATATACAAAGAGAAAAAGTTCAAGGACCAAAATGGCATAATGCACGCAGCTTAAGGACTAATAGTTTTAAGTCTTATTCTTTTCACAATTCAAATCACAACTTAAAAGTTTCATTCATTTCACTGATTCGAGTTTTACTACAATAAAAAACTCTTAGAAACAATCAGATCTAATTTTTTTACTATGGTAAAAAGCTATCACATAAAGTCACATCTCAACTCGAATTAAAAACTCGAATCAGTGAACTAAATGGACCAAAATTTTTTACTACAGTGTTTTCTCTTACAAAAATTTAAATTCAACTTTTTTACTATAGTATTATCTCTTACATAAGAAAATTTGTGTTGAGATTTGAGTTGTGAAGATAACACACTCTTAACATTCTAAAAATATAAAATCAATTATTGTATTTTAGTTAAATTCATGGTACAAATTTGTTAATTTCCGTACAAAAGAAGGAAAAAAAAAAACTTGTGCCAAGTAGAGAAAAAAGAAGGAAAAGAAAAACTAAACTATGTTCATGTTCATTCTCTTATATTTGACCCTTCAATCACAAAAATCACTAAACACTTAACAGGACCAACAATGTGAACCTCACATCACTTGTCAAATATATTTTAGAAAACTTATGGTTTTAACATGAATTTGAATAGATTTTATCCTCACATACTTCTTTAACTTACGAGCTCAAACAAAGAAAAAATGTGCTTCTGTCATTATGTTTTCAATCTTAAATCTAATTAGGTATAATTTGTTGAAAAGTCCTTCATTAGCTAAGGATGTGAGCGTCACATTCTGTTGAGTGTTTAACGATTTTTGTGCGTGAAGGGCCTTGAGTGTTTAATTTTAAAATTTCGTAATTTTAAAATTTTATTTTGCCCTTAAATGTCTAGTAGAATTATAAGAACGACGTGGGGACTTATACACTTATAATTTTGAGCTCTAATAAATTTAATATTTAATTAAACACTTTAATTAATTAATTAATTATATTAATTCAAATAGTTACTCCACTATAAACTTGGAATTGCACTCTCGTAATTATAGATATAAATTACTTCTAAACCGTGAAATGTCCATGTGATGTAGTTACTACATATAGATCAATCCTCCATAAATAATTCATAATTAGAGCTAGGTGAAATTCGTTAACCTCTCTAATTACATCTTTATCCTTGAGTACCATTGAATCTCTAATGGACAGTGATTCATAAAACACATTTATGAATCGGAGCTCCTACTGGTCCAAGTACCGAATCAACCCTGAAGAGAATTATTTATCTACTTCTATCTCAAGAAGGAATGGATTCCATCTCATATAATAACATTCCCGGCTACCTACTTCATCATGTCTCTAAAATACAAGGAATAGGATTCAGAATCTCAGAATCCGTACCGAGTAAATTAAAAGACACAAATCCATAAATATGAGCCTACTAAGAACTCGGGATTAAGATCATTCTATATCTGATCATTGGTAGACTCAATTAGAATTTCTATACTTAATAGAAATTATTAGAAATTTATATTGTGTTTGTGTCCTTGTTCTACATAATCTCATTATGCGAAATACACT